TCCCGGCCCTGTTTTCCCCCTTGTACATCAATTATGTAAGGCGTTTCTTTTGAAGCAATTTTGATGTAAAAATGGTGATAGGGAGCGATTCGCAGACAATATTTCAATCGACATTTTTCGTTCTAATTTGTAATGAACTATAAAATATACAAAGTAAAGCATAATTTTTTTGAAGTAACAAGTTACTAATTGTACATATTTTGATATTTTCTTTGGGGAAAAAATTAGCCACTTGTTAACGAAGGACGTAGCTTACCAATCACCTGATTAATTGAGGTTATATACGTTAGTTTGAATAAACTAAAATTGTGTACTGAATATTTTGAAAAGAACTGTATTCAATTAGGTGGAAACTAACTCCCCTAACTAACCTAATTAGGAGGAAACTAAGTCCCTTGGGGTCATAGGGGGTAACTTTAACATTTCAAATGAGTGGAAATTTCATGCTATGCATCTCTCGAAAGTCTGTTTCAAGTATAACTTTTAAAATGAAGTTTTTTTTTTAAGCAAGTAATGAATAATTGACTTAACCGCTGAACCACGATGGAGCAATGGTTAAAGGCATTAAACGGTCGTAATGATGCACTAAGATTCGATTCCCAGGGGTAGTTCGTAGACTTTCCAGCTTCAGATCGATGGGTACAAGCATGTTTGGGAAGTAAAGGCGGTCTATGCACAATACTGACCACACTGTCACAATCATGTCGTTAGTCTTGAAATTGTGGAGTCGTAACCTCAATAAAACCCTACTAATTTATAACTTCTTGCTATATAGCAACCGAGACTATGGCTAAAAATTCCGTTTACAGAATATTATCTTCCCCACAAGGACTGACATCGTGTGACAGGATGTTCTATAATGACAGCCCTCAATATATATCACCATAAAAAATAAAATCAGAAGGTTCTCTCCATTAGGGTTCCAAAATTGATGTTCAAGTGAAAAAATAAAAGTTATCAAACTCCAAGAATTCAGACCTGAAGAAAGCCAGATTGAATTACAGATTGAACCAGCTCAATTGCAGGAGGAAACCGAGAAAAGTTGAAGGAAAATAATTAAAAATTACATTAAGTTTCATCCGGCAATTAAACTGGTTTAGTTCTTTTTCACCCAACCTTCTTCGTAAATGATTTAACTGACCTTGATATCGCTCTTATTTCTTTTTGTTCAAATTATCATTTGCAACAGTTATTGTTCGCATCTTTTTTTACTTCGTTTTCATCAAGCGCTCTAAAAATATATATAAGGGTCGAAATTATAGAACACCCCGTGATCTGTATTATATGATATGATTCTAAATATTGTAAATAAGTGAAGAAGATAATTAATTTTTAAAGTGAGAAAGTTAATCAATTTATGGATCATAAGAGAAAATAAGTGCATTGACTAGCGAGAGTAAGTAGAGGAAATAATTTGTAAATCAATGGTAATAACAGCCATTTTTTTTTCTTTTTGCTTTAAAAGAAAAGTGAAGTAGATGTTATACATTACCTTCAATTCTACAAAGTACTCTCAAAAATACTTATATTTATAAAAAAATCGTCATCTCGTAATGTCGGGCGTAATATTTAGAAATTACTATTTCGTGAGGATCATATTAGGTTAACTAGCAAATATGTTTCTTCTAAATCGAAGAATCATAACTGTTTACATTTTTATAATCAGTGGGATATTTTGACATTTACTCAGTCTTTACAAAAAATTCAGGAAAGACATATCACTCTAAATATAGAATATTTCAAGGTAAATGTGAGGTCCACCTTCGTTTTGTTGTATTAAAATGGTAATAAATAAAACTGCCAATTTTTACGTAATAAATTGGGGGATTAAGCTAATTTTTTCAAAAATTTCTTATTAATATTGCAAAGATTTTCCACACCTTAAAAGACAAATTCGAAAATAATAATGATAATTCAAAACTTTTGTTGCTCAGAAATTAAATAACTTTAAAAAAAAATTATTCTGATAGATTTTTATTCAGAAAAGGTTTTTGTGCAGCTTATAATAGTATAAACATGTTTTATGTAGTTTAAAAGAGACTGTCTAAGTCAGATGACTGCATAACATGAAATATTATGGATTTATGTAAAATTATGCAATATGGAGTGATCATAAGATAGTATGAAACAAGTTTTATTTTTTCCTAAGTTTTATTTTTTGAATTTGTAATATTTTTATCCATAAACAAATAAACAGAACAAACAAAAAAAAGTTTATTTTATTTATTTTTAAAATTAAAGAAACTGACTAAAGAAAAAAAAAGTTTATATTAGCTCAAATTGACTTTACCTAAATTCGTAAGAAAAATAACTAAATGAAAGTAAATGAAAAACAGTTAATAACGGTATCGAAGAGGTAAATAGTAGAACCCTTCCTTTGTCCGTAATCCCATTTCAAGGGTAGAATTTTTGTTTCAATAAAAATCCCTTTTCTTTTTTTTAATTTTTTCGGTATTAGTTTAATGTTTTAAAAGATCCAGCAATAATAAGTTTATTTACTGAACCTAATAAAAAAATACAGTTTAGCCCTCTGAAGCAAAATTTTTATTCAAGATATTTTTCATACTTTTTTCATGATTTTGTATTAATGTAGGTCAAAATAAGTGAAAAATATTACATTTGACATTTTAATAATTTATGGTTATGACATACAGCATGAAACACCGGTGTTTTTCCGCGTTAAAGGTAAAATCTTTCAAGCACGGCAAACTTTGAAACAAGAGTTTTTCCAATTTGTTCTTATTTGCAGTTTTCTAGATCTAGGGGAAACAGTTATTCATCACTGAAATTTCTTTAATTTACAAAATCAACTATTATTGAATTTTAGAATATGAATGAGATAAAAGATCAAACTACTTTTTTTCTTGGATTTCTTGGAAGTTGTCCTTTAATTGATTATGCAGTGCTCTCATCATACTAAGCTTTCATCACTTCTCTGAAAAAATCATGAAAAACTTCTAATAATCAGAGTAAAATAAAAGATTTTAACAAAAACTAATCCAGCTGGTATCAGAATTACTCCATCAATTAATTCCTTTCAACTTTGTTCAAAGTAGTATTTTAAAATATTATTTTAAATAAGTGTCCCTGGATACTGGACCACAACAAAGTATAAAATAATTAATCAAAAAGTACTTTCTGCAATTCATAGTCAATTGCCGGGAAGGGGACCATGAAGATTAAATCACACGCAACAAAGAGTAAGCAAACACTTTCATTTACTTTAAAAATATTTTTTTTCTTCAAATATTTATTAGAAATCTCCATGCAAAAATCTTTGCATGGAGATTATATTATAGAGCTGTTATTCGAGAATTTCAAGCAAATATTTTCCAAAAATATTTGTTTGATATATACATAATGCATTCATAATACCTGAATTTTGGAATACCACATTGTAATACGCAGGGGGAAAAAAAAGTTTTTTTTCTTCCTTTTCTTTGAGCCATAATTTCATTTCCTTTTGTAGTTCTAAGAAAAAACGGCTAAAAGAAATCAGTAACAATGTTAAAGAGTGTCACAAAGAGTTTCTGAAAAGTCATAAAAGCACTTCTTATGCAGCGAGAGTTAAATTGAAAATTGTTTTTAAGCTCTGAACTTTATAAGAAAGGTGAAAATTAAGAATTGAAAAATGAGAAATGACCCGCCCCTCTTCTGAAATTTATATACAAGTAGGTCACGACTTACAAAAACCATGGTTTAATAGCTGTTTACTGTGAGCTAATTTCATAAGTTCCCACAGGCCTGACCTAAATAAATTACCTCGAAACTATTTAATCGATTGCAAATATTCAAATTTCAAATATTTTTAACTGATAAATGATAATAATTGTTTGATTGATTCACTTAAAGAATTGATTATAATCAATCTAAAAAAAAACATATATCTTTTTTTAAACTTCAGAGTTTTTCTTCTATTGTATATTTCCCAATATATATANAAATTATTTTTATTTCTCATAATTTTAAAAAAAATGCTTTTTTTTTTTAAAAATCTTATTTGGCACATTATTTTCTATTGTCTTGACTATGTTGATCTATAATAAGATCCTACCAAGTTCCTATATGCATGAAATTATTTTTATCTCCCTTTCACATTTTAAATTAATTTTTTAGGGACACAGGCAGGTCGCAATTTGAACATTCCAAAATCTATGCGAATTCATGGATCCTAAGCCACAATAGCAGTCCATATCCTCGATAAAGTAACTATATGCCACATGAATAATTTTTCATATGGGATACAAGAATAATATCAATCTAACAATAAATTTAATTTTTATTAATTGATTGAATTATGATATGAATTAAATGTGCTTAATATCCTAGTATTTAGTGATAGTTTTTGTGCAATAGACAATGAAATGGGACTGAGACTCTTAACTGTTACTGTTTTAATGTAAATAATTGTCTTATCTTGAGGTGATTTTCGAAGCAAGCAAAGAGTCTTTTCACACGCTTCGATTTTTACGTTTTGACCTAACATCGGTTAACTTTAACATCGATTAACAGGTAACTTAGCTTAGCTACGTCACAATATGAAAAATTGACAAGTTGTTCAGTAAAAATGAACATCCTTATGAGTGTTCATAAGGCTATTTTGTCCTTATGGATTCCGGCGGATTGGCAACGATTTATATATTTTTTTTATAAGTTTAAAACTTACGCTTCTTTTTTAACGATACGAACATGTTTTGAAGTGAGGAATTATTCATTTTCGTCAATATATTTTAAAATCAATGCCCACCCTTCAAGGACACTCCGTCCGCTCTTCGAATCACAATTAATAACGCAAATTCTGCACCAATATTCTGGATTTGTGCGCGTCTGATATGAATTTGTATGATAATTGTTTTGCACATTTCAAATTAAAGTTACGGCGTAATAATGAAAATATTTAGAAATTATGGGTCGGAACCACAAGATCCACCCAATTTATAAAGACTATTGTTTCATTCGTTTGTGGCATGTGCCCTATTGAAAAATAGTAATGATTAGTGTTGAATTACAAGTAAATGGCAACACATTGCTGGTTAACGTTGTGAAAAGTTTCTGGTCCTGTCTTTTTAACCTATATGTGTTATTATTTTATAATTGATAAATTAAGTAAATTCGAAACTCATTCATGTAGCTGGTAAATTAATTTTCGTACGTGCTCATATTTATAAACATTTTCCTGATTTATCCCTAATTATTGCCATATCTATTGTATTGACAGATTTTATTATTTTTATTTAAAAGGAACTCTTTGTAACACGTAATCTTTAAATTAAATCGGAACTACTCTTGATTCTTCCTTGACAGAATGTTATTTTGTTTTTAGACTCTAGTAATTGATTGTTTATCATCTATTTATTGATACGAGTCTCTAGTGTTTCGAAATTATAACTATTTTCCAAATTTAATGGTAAAAAAATAAGTGCAATCTTATAATTAACCATATTGTAGTAAGTTATGATCCGTTTTTACGTATTTATTGTAGAAATTTGGAATTAATGATTTATTTTCCACAGCTCATTTCGTATAACGATGTCATAGATTCTAACATTCTATTAATATTTTGTAGCTATTGATTTCTGTAACAGTACGGATATGAGTAAACGTTTACTTCAGAGAGGCCGTTATCCTAAAGGTAACTATTAACTCTAATCCCAAATCTAGTTTATCTAATCTATCTTTTCTTAAATCTGATAATTTATTTAGTATATATGTTTTGTTTTAGGCCCTGGTGTTAGTCACATAAATAACTCAAAGTAAGCTTTTTAATGTATTGTTTACAAATTTAGCAATCGAGTTTACATAGTTGTTTTTCATAATGTTTATCAAAATGTAATTAGTACTTTTTATGAAATTATTTAATTGTTCAATAAATCCATATTGTTTATTGTCAAGCTGAATGATTTTTTTTATAATAGTTTCTTTCATTTTAGAAATATATATTGGACTTACTTTCTTTTCATATTAAATATTTTTAATATTATTTTAGATTATTCTATTTTAAAATGACAATATGCATTGTACAATCTGTTTGTTAATTGTGCAAAATAGTTCATATTTAAAACCTTTATTTTAAAAAAATGAGGCTAGATAGACTATCAGAATTCAATCTAAAATTTTATTTATCAGGCTACTGTTTATAGAATTTTGTAAAAATGATTTTCATCAAAAACTGAAGTCCTATTTCTTTGAAACATTAAAACTGCATTTTTGTGAAAGTGTTAAAATTTTTTTTAAATACAAAATGGACAGAGTAGAAAATTTTGTAAAAAGATCTGCTAACAGAACTTACTTTCTCGATTGATCCTTGAATATTATGAAATTTATTTAATTTGATAGAAAACTGACAAGATTTTAATTTTGCGTTGAAATTTTAGTTTTTCTTCTCTGAATTGTGTTTTTATATCATGTTAATCTAAATTTTGTACTGTATATTTCATTCTGTATTTATTGACTACTTAGGTCATTTAATATTGTTATAACTTTTAGAGGTAATGATAACTATTTTATTTAAATGCTAATTGTGGTTAATTATGAAGTATTAAAATTTCTCGGAAACTAAATAATTTTTTTTCTTTTTTGGAAATAAAAGCAGTATATTATAAAAAAGAATCCAATTATCCGGAATTAGGCTACAGTTTTTAAGTGTTTTTGATGCTAGTTTTATTTTTTTCTCATTATGATATTATTAATCTGGTATATTTGCTGATTTAAATTTTATAACTAAATTGAAAAACTACTCTTTATTAGTTCACAATTTCCACCTCCAGCTCCAGTTTCACAACCATCTCAACCTGGTGTGAGTTATTTTGATCCTTCTCAGCCTCCTCAGGTACAGTCTTATAAATAGTCTTTCATGAAATATATTTATAAAGCTTTTTTTTTAATATTAATTTTTATTCCTAGGTTCATATTAATATTTGTCAAATGCTACCTAACCCTTTGCTTACAGTGTACCATTTGTACCGTTACATGTGGTCCACATGTTGAAGCCATAAGCAAAAGGTTAAAAGAACTTAATTTTCTTGAAAATTCCTGACATAATATCATTATTCTAATTTTTTCTCCATTTAATGTTTGATGTCATGAACTTTACGTTTAAGTGCATGGTTTGAAGAAAAAAAAAATTATCTTTGATTTTTATTTATTTTAAGCATGTCATTAAGCATTCTATCTGTAAAAAAAAAAATTTTTGTAATTGAAAAAATTAATTTCAAAGTTCCAGTGTTGGTTTGGTAATTAAATTTTAACTTCAAAGAAAATCAAAATTTCAAATTTAGTACTTACTTAATTAATAATTTTTATCATTTGAATAATCATTTTGATTTTAACTGTTCAAATGTAAATTTCTTGATAATTTTTATTTACTTATTAATTTAATAATTTTATAAAGCTAATTTTTATAAGAAATGTTTTCCTATTTAATTAATTTTACTACTTTTATAATTTCTAAAACCTATTTTAGCTTAACTCTTTCACATGCTTTGTCTATATTTTTTTAAAAGAGTTTTGCAATTGTTAACTTTTAGTGTCTCTTTAGGTGTGGCCGGTAAGTATGTCTTTCATTGGTTTTAATGAGTTTCATAAAATTAAAATTAATTTTAAATTTTCCTCAGCATTTTCTTGTCTTGTTAAGTATCCCTTATTGTTTAAGATTAAATCTTTCTAGTACTTTTACTATTGAACTCCTTTATAACAAGAATCTGTAGAGCCTAGACAGTGTGCTCGTTAAAATTAGAATTTACAGAAATCCTCGCAAATTAAAAATGTAATTTACAAAAAAGAATCAGAAATGTTCACGTTTTGTAATTATAGTGATTATAATGACTTTTAAGTTTTTTTTTATTGAACCCGGGGGCCGCAGTCGGCCCGCTAAGCTTTTTTTTTTTGTGGCCTGCAAACTAAAATATATTAGTTCAACGGTGCAAAAATATTTATTTCTCAGGTTTTGCATCCAAGAAAATATTTATTCAAATACCAAAAAAATTGTGTATGTTGCTCTTTTTTATTTCATTTTTTTGTATTTTGTGAATATAATTTAGCATGTGCGTATCAGAAATTTTCTCAAAGAAATTCTCTGATTTAACTTTCTGAAACCACTCATTTTGGACGAAAATATTTACACACACATTTGTAAATTTTAAATTTAAAATGTAAATATCTATTCTCTGGTGGTTGCAGCAGACAAACCTCAATTTTCTCACTGAACATTTTGTGTGCTACTATGTAAGTTTTACCAACTTTTATACCAAGTTTTATATCTTAACAAATGATATCTGTTGCGCATTAATTGTTTAATACATAGGTGCACATTAAAGTTATTGTATTCCTTCGAAATTCTTAATATGCAATTAAATATTTTTAAAAATCTTCTTATTTTAATTTGTAATTCAATACGTTTATTTTGTACAACTTGATATAAAAATCTGACAGTAATATTTAATGTTCCTTCAAACATAAAAGAGTCCTTCATAAAGTTGCGGCCCGCCATTTGATTTGTGATTTTAATCGTGGCCCCCGTTTTCATGTAAGTTGGAAACCCCTGGTCTAGAGCATATACGAAATGCATTATTACTAACATCTAATGATTTTAGAGAACAGTTATTAATTTCTTGCATGTGTGGTTTTCATATGCCTTTTTAATCTGTAGACAGACCCAGTGGCTTTAAACTTAGACTTTTATTTTTATTTATTTGTTCCTTTTACATTGTACAGAATTTTTGTATCTTTACTCAAGTTATTTATTTTATTTATGTGGAAGTTTCTAAATATAATCAGGGATTTTTAATGCTTTTACATTCATGATAGCTGACATGTTACGAAAATTTAATTTTTTGAAAGTGTTATTGTCTTCTATATTAAAAACTATTATATATGTACTTTATGCACATATGTAATCAATGATTAATATAATATAAGTACTGAATGCAAATGTATGTAAATAATAAATAATTTGTGGCACAGTTATTATATATACTTATATATATTGGTGCTGTTTATGTCAAAAAAGAGTTTGATGTCTTACTGGGACGGGGGGATACATAAAAAAATAGGTATGTTTTAACCCCTCCAAGCATTGAGTACCTGGGCCTGCATTTGAAAAAAGCTGGGAGAAACATTTTGAAGTTAAAAGAATTTTTTCTTTTGATTTAGTTGTTTAGCAATGGCATTACATATACATTTTTATATTTAAATTTATATGTTTTTAATATTTATAGCCTGATCAAAACGCATGGAACCAACAATCGTATGCTGCCACCACTAATTATCAACAAACAACTACATCGAATGCTCCACCTGTTTCTGAACCAGCAAATTATTGGTCCGGGGCACAAATGTTTCCTAACACTATGCAGGTAATTTATTCCACTGAAATTATTTTGTCATTTTAAACTTAAAAATTAAGTTGCAAAAGCTAAATTAATTAACAATATATGGACCTATTTATACAATAGTTTAATGCATCTAAAGAATATATAATGAAAGATATTATTTGTTTTCTGATGATGCAATTTTAAAATTCCAAATTTATTTCCATTTACAGTATTATTAAAAACAAGCTAATTATACAAAAAGGGTTTCATAATACTTTGTAAAAAATATATTATAAATAATTTGTGATTTAAATTTACATATCTGAAAGCATGTTTAGTTCTTGTGAAACATAAATTGTTGAAATATGTGTTTTCTGCTACTTCATGATAGCAATATTTTGTAGTTCAAGAATCAATAGATTTTTATTAGTTTGAAACTATAATTATATTAGTAAAAGCACTTTTACATGAAAAATAAATAACAGAACTTATTAGTTTAAAACTATGATTATATTATTAAAAGCTCTTTTACATGAAAAATAAATAACTGAACTTTAAATGGATAGGTTTAAACTGTACCGATAGTTCAGTATTTAATTAATTAATTAGTTTTTAAATACCTAACTTGTGTCACACAGAATAGTCCATTTACATTTTATTATATATTGTTGAGTAAAAAAAGAAAGAAATTTTTTATTTTTTTGTTTTTATTTTAAAGATTAAATAGAGATTGAGTTAGAAAACATATTAACAAAAATAATATTTAAAAAAATTATTTTTTTTCCTTCAAATTTTGTTTGTTATTATTGAAATTTTGAAACTGAAGTACATAATAAATAGTATGAATTATTTTACCTTTACTTGTTATTACTTCACTTACCATAACTTTGAACAAGGATATACAAAGCCTAGGCATCGAATCTTCATTGCAGAAAACAATTTGTAACTTAGCACTTATACATTTTTCTAAACTAATAACATTCATTTATTATATGATCGGTTAGATTTAAAAACAATTTTTTTTTTTTGTATTTTTTTTTTGTACCCTTGTCTCTAAAAAGTTGCTATATAACATAAATATTTATATAAAGTATAAAATGTTAATAAATGGTATGAGTTTATTAGTATTTTAACTTATTTATTAGTATTTTAACTTATTTATTATTATTTTAACTTTTTTATTACTATTTTAACTTATTTATTACTACTGAATTATTTATAAGAAATGATTAAGGGAATTTCGTTACATTTTTCATAAATATATTCATAATTTTATTTCATGATACAGTAGATTAATGATTTTTATATTTTTTATCAGGCTCCTTGGAATGAATCTTGGAATTCTAAGCCAGATAGTTCAGCAAATAATTCAGAGTACATTTACCAACAGCCACCTGCAGTTCAGGCTGCTCAACAATGGCAGCAAGCCCCTTATATGGCCACTGATAATCAAAGTTACTCTCAACCTCAAATGGAAACTTATAACTCACAGTTTCAACAGGGATATCAGTATCCTCCAACTAATGAATACCAGCATTCAAGTAATGTTTCTAATAATCAGCCTGCTAATAACTCTGAATATCAATCTTCTAATAATCTTGTAAATAACCTACCACCTACAAGTAGTTATCAATTTAACAATTCCTCAGAATTTCCCTCGGCGAATAATAATTCTATGCAACCGAGTATGCCTTTACAAAACTGGGAAAACGGAACACTCCCACATGTCACTAAACCCGAAGAACTGCCATGGACCTATAGCACGCCTCAATATAGTAATCCACCTTTAAATGATTATGCTCAAATTCCTAATTCTTCAGCCAATGTACCTTGGCATCCTTCTGTAAGTTCTAACCAAGATGTTAGTTCAGAACACAATATTCAGAATACACCACACAACTACTTACCCTTAGACTCTAATAATGTATCTAATCAGATGCCCTTAGAATCGGAGACAGTTGTACCTCAAACTATATCACAGCAAACAGAACAAACACAGAGTGATGTAAATAGTGGTATGTCAATGCAGCAAGAATTTTGTGATACAGACTATAGTGCTAGTACATTATCTGCTTTTTTTCACCCAAGTGATTTAGTTAAACCAGACAATGAAATACCCGAGGATAGCAGAGAGGTGGTTTCTGATGATCTTCAGAATATTGAATCATCTAGTCAAGAAACTCATTCTATGGCTCTTGTTGGTGAAAATGGCTCTGTTAAAACGTCAAGAGCTGCCTCAGAAGAAGGTAGCTTGGAAGGTACTTGTAGTAGCGGTTTTGTGCAGGAAGAAAGCCTCAATGATCCCGTTAAAGGATCTTTTTCTAATTCTCCATCACCATGCTTAACTGAAGGTGAGTTTTTTTAATTAAAAATTTGTGAGTGTTTGTAAGGTTTGTTGTTTTATAGATTGTTCAATGATTTCTTTGAAGTTATTTTATGCTTTTATTCCCTGTGGCAGAATTTTTTCCAAGCTTTCTGCGACAATCCTCTCTAGTGCTAATACCTTTTTGAAAGACATTTTTAATAGTAGCAAATATATATGTTCCTAATTTAAAGTAACAGAAGTGCTTTCTGTTTACAAAAAAGCCTTTATGTATGGAATAGAACAGTATATAATTTTTTTTTCATTATAAATGTAAGAATTTTTTTTTGAACTCTAAATATAAAAGAATACATATTCTAATAATATTGATGATATTCTCCTGTTCTAAAAATGTTTTGTATGGTTAACCTTTTTAAATTTTTTCTTTTTGTAAATTACTTTTTATAACATCAATCTGAAGTTCTACCTAAAGCCACTCATTGCAGAATTTTCTTATTCTCAAAAGAAAATAGAAAAAAAATTAGGAGCATTTATTCCACCTGGGATGTGCGAGAAAGGCATTTTTTGAATATAATTCTGCGGAAAAAAAATTTTTTTGAAACATTTTGCGGATAGAAAAAAAACAAACTTCTTTGCTTCTCAAATTAAAAATATTTCTGCAAGAACTCTGTAACGTTCTGCGACAATGTCGCCATGATTATGCCACAGGGCTTTTATTATTACTTCTGGATTAGTTCACTTAACTATAGACATACTATAACATGTAAAAATCAATAAAATTAATTTAAAAGCGTAAAAAATCATGGTAAAGAAATTTGAGTTTGGTAAACCTAAATTTCCAATATTTTTTTCTAAAACTTTTTTTTTACAAATTTAAAAAAATATTTTCTGAGTCTCAATATTGGTTTAATTTATATCAATGAATAGATGTGAAATAAAAAAAAATTCTATTATCAATGTATTATATAAAATTGTTTAACAAATTTATAAAATATTTTTTTTGCGAAAACTTATTTAACCTTTTTTAGATAATATTGTACTGTCAAAATCTTTAAGAAATATTCCCTCCCCCTTTATTATTAAGTAAACAGTATTTCTTTACAGACATGTATTTTAAGGCCAAAAAATATTTCCTCTCAGTAAAATTTACTCTAACAGATTCCTTTCATCTGTTATACTTAGCTGGAGCAAAAAAATTCATCACTTATCTTGCCTTAATCTTTAAAAAATAAAAAATTTCCTTTTCATATTTTATTCTTTTATTTGATTTGTTAGTATAGAGCTTACTATAAGAGTTTCTCTTTGTATATATGACCCTAAGCATTGTAAAAAGTGTTTGATTGTAGTCTATTATTCCTTCCTTAAACTTTGCTCAAATATTTATGGAACATCATTATATAAAGTTTTATGTTGGACAAACAACAGATTAGATTAAATCTTTTAGTTGCAATTATTTAGTATTTAAATAATATATTTATAAAGTAGAAAGCCTCTTCATCTCTTAAATTTTTTGTGAGTAAACTATAAAATAAATATTTTCTTTCAGAACCAGTTAATCAAGAAGTCCCAGAGCCACCTGGAAGTAACTTATCAAACTTATCTGTTAAAGGCGAGAAGGTATAAAATTTTTTTCTTAAATATTCTAATTTTATGCTTGCATATTTTTAAGCTTTTACTACCTGATCATGTATGTTTTACGAATTTTTTAAATGTAATCCAAAACAGTAACCGGCTTACATTTACCAAAATATAAAGTTTTTAAATCCAAAACTATAACTCTGCTGCAATAAAGTTATAGATATCATTTATTTAAATACTTTGCAAGTCATAACTTATATTATTTTATTTTATATTTATGCTTTTTCTAACATATTATTATCCATCTTACTCTTCATTTGCTTCTTCTTTTCTTTTTGTTTCTAGTTTTATTTTTATTAAGCTAAAATGGAAATTTCTTGATGAAAATATTCACATGAATCATATCATTGATTTTTTTTAAGCGAAAGAAATAGCTTCTCTTTCTTTTCTTTTCTTTTTTCTTTTTTTTTTTTTGTTTGCATCTGTACATTTTTGCTGTCATTTATTTTTAATTTGCATTTTTATCATTATTGGTTTTAGATTAATTAAAATTTTCATTTATTAATTTATGTTTTTTATCTACATATGCAATATGTGCTGTTTTTATTATTTTTTCAACTAGCTAATTTCATGATATCTTGCCTAAATTTTCATCTTTAAACTTTTAGTTTTTGGCCAAATTTTTCGTGAATTACATTATAATTTTTTTCCCCATAAGATATGCGCTAAATTGTTGACACAAAGTAATGTCAGCATGATAGGGACACACAAAAAAAATAGTTTTTTGCATTTTTATTTCTTTTTGATTTGTAGTTTATTCTCTCAAGGTGTATGTTAGATGTGTGTAAGATATTTTATGAAGATGTTTAAACTGTTACTTTGAAAAATAACCACTTGCTTTTTAATTATTATTTTTGCTGTTATTGTAATAAAGAGTAACATGTTTTATGTAGGACTCTGATGAATCTGGAGAAGAGCCACAAAATCAACAAGTTCCTTCACAGTCTGGCCAATCATCCCGCTCTACTTCTGTTGAAAGAGAAAAAATAGTAATACGTCCTAGAGAAGAGAGTCCATTTAAGCCCCCTAAGACAAATAGTTCAAAAAGTAATTATAATTTTTTTTATCTGTCATTAAAAGTTTGTATTTTATTATTTTTTTGGATTGAAAAATAAAGCTGCCTTTGCAATTTTTTTATTGCAATTTTTTTTTCCTTTTAATCCTAACAGAATATTGTTTGAATTAAAAGGAAGTACTTTTTTAAAATGAAATGGTTATAGTTGTAGTAAGTAAGTGGGCCACTGTTTAAAATAATGCAAATATCTACTTAAACGTACACATAAAAAGTAAATATTTTATTATTAAGAAAACAATGGGAATAACTACTGATTCAATAACAATAATCCAAAAAAGAACTAAAAACTTTTTTATCAATTAAATTAAAAACTATTTTATTTTCTACTATTAATATTGAATTTTTCTTAATTTTTTTTTTATAAATCTGCAGGCATGCTGTTTTTTCCCTATTTTTCTTGAAGACAATCAGGCTGAGATTTTTGACATGCCATACATGCTGCTCTTTGTTGATAGATGAAATTTTTTTTAGCCTGCAACTTCTTGATTGAAAATTAACTTATTTAAAAATCACACTTTCAGGTATTGTAGTCCAAAAAGAAACATCTGTGAGTCCTGTTGAAACAAAAATTCCAGAAGACAAAACAGTTGTTCAAGAAGTGAATCTTGAAACGTTCCCCGACAATTTGGAAAGACCATCTGATTATGAAGAACTTAGGAAACAGTCTCCCTTGTATGCTCATAAAAGACATCTAAGGCAAGAATTAAATAGTTCACCTAGTTCATTGTTATGTGATAATCCTGACATTCCATGTGTAACTCTTGCACCAGCTGCCCCTCCCATATCTTCTGCAAAATCAGATAAATCTGAATCGTCTTCAGATTCAAGATCTGATGGATTGTCTCTACGTAGCTCCAATTTGTCTCTTTATAATTTGCAAGAGGTATGTAATTTTTTTTCCTATTTAAAACTATTTCTGTAAATAACTCCTGTGTATAGCTAAAATTAAATTATTTTTGACAGTATTTAGTATATAATAATTTCCTTTCCTTTTTTTAAGCTAGCCTTTACATAACTCCATAAGTATATATAGCATTTTTTTTCCATTAAAAAACAATTTGAGTTTATTATTATAGGGTGTGTAGCGTTTTTAAAAAGTGCTTAAAGGCTCTTATTTTTCATATATGTTTTTTAAAAGCCCTTAAAGGTGCTTTTTTTGTTCAGGGTTTGGAAAGAGTGCTCAATTTTCTATCTTCTAAAATGAGATTTTTTTCTTTGCCCTGTCGATTGTCGTTCTAAATTACAAAAAATGCTTGATTTTTCACAATTTTCTCTGCAATATTTATCAGAAACTTAATTATTTTATCATAATTATGTAAAGTTTTTGAAAATGTTTTTACATTTTTTTGATTTTATGTTTATAAATTAAAAACTATAAATGATAGACAGAGATAACTTTTATTACTGCACAGATCCTGATTATGATTTTCTTTCTTTGGAAAGTGATTTAAAATATTTTTTAAGTGCATAAAAAGTACTTAAAAGGTGCTTATTTTTTGTTGAAAAATCTGGCTGTGCACCTTGTATTATTATTAAACATTGAAACTGTTTTTTTACACATTGTGGGGAATTATAACTAAGTGGAAAAACTATAAATAACTATAAATACCATTAGTGGGTGTCGCATAAGCAGAATATTGTCAAATGTTCTGCAACAGGACTTATTAATTTATACAAATGTTTTGCAAGCATTTCACATCGAAAAAAAAATCAACTTTAAGTTTAAATACTATATTTTCATTTATTAAAATACAGGATCGTACACAGATACACTACATTATTTCTTAAACCAAGGCAAACATTCTTGATTTGTTACTTTTTCAATCACTTTCAAAGTACAAAATTTTGTCAATGACGATGACGAATTATTAATAAATTGACTATGCGATGAAGGTCTTTCAAAGGGACAAGTGCCCAGATGGTGCACCATTTGCAAACACAAACATTCGCTGGTCTGTTTTTCCAACAACTTCTTCATATCCATCGAAAGCATTTGGTCTTTTAGAAACAATTCTGTCAATCGTGGATCCTGACTATTCACAAATTGCTTCTGAAATGGGAATGGAAAATATAAAAGTCATAAACTTTGTGAAATTGGAAATCTCTGAATTTAATTCTGTTATGGCTTGCTTTAAAAGCTCTCTTGATAAAAATGGTGATCGATTTCTCCTGCTGTCTGCTAAGAAGTGATACACCCATTTTATAAAATGTTATAGCCAAAAGCTAATTCATTAATTTCCTCCTCAGAATTGCAAAGATATGGGAGAGGGAGATTACTGATAAATGTGCTGAAATTTGTGCAGGGTGTCAAATGTTCCTCATCTAAAGCAACATCATTCCTGGGAAACAGCAAGTGGTCAAAGCTAAGAAGAATTTTATACAAGATACAAATTGTTCTGCAGGACTTCGTTTGTTCTGCGACGTACGTCACAGTTTTAGGCAATCTCTGCTTCTGGGGTGGGCAAGATGTGTTAATTAAAAGAAAATGTTGTTGTAGTATGTTTATAATTTTCAACTTTTTATAATTTCTTAAAATTAAATTTTAAAGCAGAACTTTAAAAATTAAGGTAATAAAAAAAAATTTTTTTTGTGATCTTTTTTAATTGTTTTAAAAATAAATTTGAATGCAAAAAACCATTAAATCCACAGCTCCTTGGTAAGATTTTAAAATGCAAAATGCTATAATTTAAAACTGTTTCTGTAGTTTAATGAAATAGTGATAATGTAGTTAACGAAATTAAATAATTGATTTATTAGTTAATTTTTAAAATATTACATTCTGAAAAAGCAGTTCCATTGTTCACAATCAAAAATTCATTAAAATTAAAAATGCGAACTTGTTCTTATTCTACTAGTCCCAGTCATGGGTAATTTGCCTGTTACTAGCCACCTGCCACCTAGCTTTGCCTGTTACAGTTTACTTTTCTCCTGTGTTATTTAATGTAAAAGCATTGTTTGACAGAAAAATATTTGTGTCAGTTTTTTTCCCTGTCTTATTTACTCTTGAGAAAAACACTGTTTTTATAACAATTTTGACACACAAATTTTAACACGAAATTTGTAAACCCAAATTTTTATATCAATTATCCGAAGTATATAGACATCAAATAGTTTAACGATTATTCCAGTATTGTGTTAGTTTGATTCTTACTGATAGTTCGAGATTATTATTTCAACTAAGAATGTGATTGTAATGTTGTTGAAATGTTTCCAAAATTTTGCATTTAAAAAATATAAATGCTATATTTACGGACATAGAAACTTGGCATTAGCCTGTTAGCTGAGGAATAAACTTTTGTTCAACTCGATTCACAATAGGGATTTTTTTCTTTATAGCTGTAAACAATATCATTGCACCTCAAGTAATTTTCATAGACAAAAAGTTTTGCCATTGCCCGTAACAGTAATAGTTTGAGTATGCAGGGCTGATTGTGCTCGGGAAAAAATCCGGATTTCTGCATTTTTCGCTAACCGTGATCTGGAAGTTTCCGGAGATCGAAGGTTCAGACTTTTCAAAAAATCATTGATCACAAAAGTTTCCAGAAATCAAATTTTCAAAGGTGGAACTTAAAATCACAGTTTATTTTATTTGTTTGTAAGGGAGAGCCAGAGAGATACTTTATAAGCTTATATTCATGATTAATATTCATTTTTTATCAGTAAATAGTTGTTATAATCATAAACTCAAGAAAGAAAGACATATTTGTAAATTTTAATTACTTCTCCAGGTCATCATAGGTATGTGTAAATGGTATAGGTATGTGTAAAATTTTAAATATATTTTAAGTGAACTAAGAAATATTGAGAAAAAGGAAAAAACCTTGTTTAAATTTTTTTCTAATTTTTCAATTTAAACTTTTTTTTTCTTTATTTATTTAAGAAATTTTCCTGAATTTTGACTTGGACTCACCATCACCCCTGTGCATGACAAAATAACAGGTTTATATTTTTAAGAAAGGAATTTTATGTTTTGCTAGATTTTTTCTTCAGTGTCAAAATTTGTATTATGAAAGAAGACTTTTTTTTTACAATTTTTATTGATAATTATATATATTTTAATTATTTGTCTCTCAAAATATGTACTCAATGCAACATTTGTATGTTTTTTTTTTTCCTGTTGACTATCTGTATTTTATTGCATTTTTCTGTTAGTGCTTGTTAATGGGTTAAATAATTTATCACTTTACACACTAAAATTTTTTTTTTTCAGTCTTTACCCAAGGCTTCATCTTCTGACAAAATTAGTAAAGTAGAACGACCTGAATTATTGCAGCAGAACAAACAACCCTTAATAATGCAGCAGGCTATACCCCCAAACTCCGAAAATCCGTTATATTCCTACAACAACTCTCTGCCCAAGACAAAAGATAATGATTTGCATAACCTTGGAAATTCTGTTTCTCAACCTCCTATGCTCTTAAAAGATTCAAAAATTAGTAGCAAAACTCATATCAATGAAAAGCCACAAGAATATGATCAAAGATCATCATCTGCTGATTATCAAAGACCATCTGCCAGGAAAGATGAAATGCCTCATGCAAGTAAACATGATACTAGGTATAGTAGCCAAAGAGAATTGAGATTTAATGATCGAGATCCTAAGCATGATAATTTCAAAGATGATGGATATGATGAATCTAGTGGTATTGGTGGTGCTAAGAATCCTATGTTCGATAATAGCAGAGATCCCAAGCATAGTAAGAGTAGCGATCCTATCAATAGAGATCCTAGATATGATACCAAGGATCCCAGATATGATGCCAGAGATCCTAGGTATGATAATACCAGAGATCCTAGATATGATAACACCAAGGATCCTAGATATAATAATAACAAAGATCCTAGGTATGATAATAATAGAGATCCTAGGTACGATAATAGAGATCCTAGGTATGATAGAGATCCCAGGTATGACAATAGTAAAGAATCAAGATATAACAATCAGAGAGATCCAAAAGATAGCAGACAAAGGTTTGCTGATCAGAAGTATTATAGTTATGATGAACGGCAATACTATTCAGATAGAGAGAGCTCCAGGCCCTCTAGTAGAAATTCAGCAAGAGATGAATATCCATATCAACCAAGAACTGAGGATTATCCTTATCAACCAAATAGAGGTGATCCTAGGCATAGTGAATATCCACCTCGTCCATCTTCTAGAATGAGCGAGTCTGATTTGAATCGTAAAACTGGGCAGTACGAAGATTATTATCGCCAAGGGTACCAGCAGTATCAACCGGAAGCATATCCGAGGGACCAGAGGGTTTCAGGTCCTTATCAGCGACCTCAGCAAAAAGGTGAGTTATATTTATGTTTTTTTTACATAACATATTTAATTAATTTTCTTTCTTTTTAAAAAAATAGAAGTTTGAATTTTAAACTGTGTATTCAAAAGTTAGCTTAAAAAATGTACATTTATTTACTTTGGTAAAATTTAAGTTTCTTTTTTTAAATAAATAAAAAAATTCAAATCAATCAGGCATTTTTANACAGAGATCCTAGGTATGATAGAGATCCCAGGTATGACAATAGTAAAGAATCAAGATATAACAATCAGAGAGATCCAAAAGATAGCAGACAAAGGTTTGCTGATCAGAAGTATTATAGTTATGATGAACGGCAATACTATTCAGATAGAGAGAGCTCCAGGCCCTCTAGTAGAAATTCAGCAAGAGATGAATATCCATATCAACCAAGAACTGAGGATTATCCTTATCAACCAAACAGAGGTGATCCTAGGCATAGTGAATATCCACCTCGTCCATCTTCTAGAATGAGCGAGTCTGATTTGAATCGTAAAACTGGGCAGTATGAAGATTATTATCGCCAAGGGTACCAGCAGTATCAACCGGAAGCATATCCGAGGGACCAGAGGGTTTCAGGTCCTTATCAGAGACCTCAACAAAAAGGTGAGTTATATTTATATTTTTTAGGTGGCATATTTAATTAATTTTCTTTCTTTTTTTAAAAAAAATGGAAGTTTGAATTTTAAACTCAGTATTCAAAAGTTAGCTTAAAAAATGTACATTTATTTACTTTGGAAATATTTAAGTTCCTTTTTTTTAAATCAATAAAAAAATTCAAATAAATCAAGCATTTTTAAGCAGATTTTTATATAATAGTATGCACCTTTTTTTTTAAAATGTAAAAACATTTCACTTTTCAAAAGGTCACATTTGTAAAAAAATTATCTTAAAATTTCAAAATGTGCTCAAAGTAATCATTTATGAATCTCTTCTACAAATGCCAAAAAATTTACATTCAATTTGATGATGCACAATATATATATATATATATATATAATTGGTGCAGGATTTTTTAGGATTTAAAATAAAACAATACTTTTGAATTCTTTCTTTTAATAAATTCTATTTTTTATTTTTTTCCACATTTTCTTAGGTTATGAATATGATTCTTATCAGCGAGATATGTATTATGCTTCATATTATGATGCTTATCAACGTTATGCATATAATAATTTCAACTATGGCTTTTATGATGAGCTTTACAGAAATGATCCGAGGTAAGTTTTTCAAGGTTTTTAGTTCAAGCTTTAGTTGACCATTTTAATGTTTATTAAAATAAGGTAGGAATTAAATTTTTTAATAGTTCAAATGGAAATTTTTTTTTTTAGTTTAATTAGCAAACTAAACAATTTTGCGTATTTTAAATAGCTTTTGCTAGTACTTTACAGGTTCTAGGATCATGACTTGACATATGATGTTATATGAAAATATCGTACTTTAAAAGTATATTATGTTTAATTTTTCTTTGTATAATAGGAATAAATACCACCTTTATTTATTAAAATTTCAAAATCAAAAATATTTTAACATTATAGAAAGTCTGTTACCCCTTATTCATTTTTTATTTTAATAATAATTAAAGCCTATATTGACCTTTTACATTTCTGGTCAACCCTTCATTTTACATATTTTTGCTAACCAAAAATATTGTTTATGAGATTTTAAATTTTTTTTATAGATATGTGCTTAGATTATTGGATAGTGCTTAGATTATTGGATACCAAGTAATATTTTTTTATTAAATGTGGTTCTTGAAACGTTTTCACACATTTAAAAAATTGTGATTTTAAAAAAAAATCACATTTATAAGTTTTTTATATAATTAGTTAGGTTTATGAACTAGTAAGTGATTTCTTTTCTACCTTAAAATTGCTCTTAACCTCAAGATAAAAATATTAATTACTTGGACAGAACTGAGCTTTGCTTAATTAGTTTAAAAAATGATAATCTGATTAACTTACAAATTAAAATTATTTAGCTTAAATGTTAATTTTTAAAAATACTCTTAATGCAAGTAAATGCTTTACTCTATTTATATTATTTTAGTCACATTATAATAGAAGAATTATCTTTTGGAAAAAAAAAATATTCATAAGCTCTGAAATTGATACTAAATGATGAAATGAAATGATGAACTGATAATGAAATTGATACTGAAATTAATATGAATCTATATTTTGCTTTTTAATTAAAATTCACCATTTTTAGTTGCTTTATTGAAATATGTTCATCTTCATTATATTTTTAAATAGTTTGCTATAGTTACTAAATTTTCACTAATACATGCTTTGTTTCAATTACAGAAGTGATACAAGGTAATTTTTATCTTTTTTATTCATTTTAAAAATTCTTTAATTTTTTATGAACATTTTGGTGTTAAAATGTATAAAGAAAAGTTTTTTTAAATAATTTACTATAGTTACTAAATTTTCACTAATACGTGCTTTGTTTCAATTACAGAAGTGATACTAGGTAATTTTTATCTTTTTTATTCATTTTAAAAATTCTTTAAGTTTTTATGAACATTTTGGTGTTAAAATGTATAAAGAAAAGTATTATGCTTAAACTAAGTTATTATTAATCAAAAAGATTTAATTTTCTTTCAGATATCGACAATATCGTGAAGCTCAAGAACAGTACAGACAGTATTATGCAAAGCAAGGTTACGATGAGTATGAACGATCAAGTATTCATTCTGGTCGTAGTTCAGCAAATGAGTTGGCTAAAGATATGACTGCTGGGTAGATATTTTTTAAAGAATATTTTTGAAATTTTAAATTTTTTGTATATTTCCTGAAATATTTAAACCAGGGATAGCAAATTAATGGTATGTGCTACTAGGTGGCACGCAGTTCGTATTTAATTTTTCTTAAATGCTTACATCCCTTCAGTGATTCGATTAGATGAGTACCAAGATTGCTTGGTGACTAAACTCTAGAAGTTCTCCGTTTGGCTAACCCAGGAACGTCTGCTCCTGCAACCCAGAGTTCAAGGTTAAGAAAGCTGGAAAGCAAAATCACGTCATAGTAGGCCTTTGCTCTCCTTAAACTGTTACGCCACTTAGTTTTTTTTTTTTTTTTTTTTAAAAAAATTGCATTTCAATAAGACAGCAGTTAAAAAAAAAGAAACTCTGAATTCTAGTGGTCATCGAAGAGAAATTTAGAAACAAGCATGATTTTGAGCGAGATATGGCATTTTCAAGGACGCAAGGGTGACGAATGCCCGTTCCACTATTGAATTCCAATTATTGGGCAGGCTGGCTTTTTGTTGAGAAATTTGTGTAAAGACAGAAGCCGAACAAAATTACATAATGCTCCAAACAGTTTTTTTTTAGCATCTTTCATCTTTTTTAAAGGGCACCATATTTTACATTTTAAAAAAAATTGACTGTGAGTGGAGATTGTGTTACCAATTCAGATTTGTGGAAAAAATAACTCTCTTTTTTTAAAATTTTGGTGGAAATAAAATTGATCCAATATTTTTAATATATTACATGATACTCTTAAATCATGCATTTAAGTCTTCATTTTATTGGTCATAGCTAGTGCCAATTCCATCATAAATATATGTAGTGTTTTGATAATCTTTTTCGCAATTATTTTGTCTCAATATTTTTGCTTTTTCGTGTGTGTATTTTCATTGTTTTACATCCAATATACTAATGCACATTTTCAAGAAATGGATGGAAAATAAAAAAATTTAGATTTTTGATTAGATTTAGACATATTTCTATTTTAGTTAATAATTCTAGTAGAAGTCTCGAAATTTGATAGCTCTAATTTATCATTAACATCTAATAATTATATGCATAGTTTAGGCATGTAACCACACCCTCAGTATTCATTGTTTAAACCTTTTTGGGATTTTAGTCCTTCAAGGGTTGGAGGAAAAGTTTTCTATTATCAAAATTTTATGATGATGAATTCAGAGGTCATATGTTCTTGTATTATATTAAGCAAATGCAGTAAAAAATTACATATAAGGTGGGCTTAGTAGTTTCACAATTACTGTTTTGTCTGGTTTTAAAAATGTTTAATTCCAATAAACATCTAAAATTGTGGGATTAAAGAAATCTTGAACTCAGTTACTAATTTAATTATAGATCAGTATTAGGAAATATTAACTAATTGATACTGATTTTTTTTTTAATACAGCAGCAAAATAAAAAATTTCTATGCATTGATTTGAAGTTGAAATTATTATTAGTTGTGCAGTTAAAATTATATGGCAAACTGTTAAAAAATTCTCTTCTAAACAAAGTATTTCTGAAATTAAAAATAGTGTATGTTATTATTCCTTTGTGATTCAATGTTTATCAGAAACTACTTATCATGATTGAGTAAAGTCTGAAAATGTTTCCCATTTTGTTGATTTTATATATATAAATGAAGAACTTTAATAGGGAGAAGAAAAGATTATTGCTACACATATCCTAATTATGATTTTTTTGAAAAAAGAATCTTTTAAGATATTTTTAATGCTTAAGAAGTGCTTATTTTAATTTAAAAAATTGGTTATTTATCCTGAGTTTATTATTTATAAAGTATTTGTAAATTGAACATTTTTCATGTTACATATTTTTATTGTTTTGTAAATTGGCAGGCAATTTCAAGAGCAAGATATTGATTCAAATGAATCTGAATTTTCAACCTTTAACCTTCAACCAAACTACTCTTATAATGATGGTCAGAATGATGTATCAACTGCAGAAGCTGGTAAAATAAATTTTTTTCCTCATTATCTTAATGTGACTTTTTTAAAATTCACTTAATTAACTTGAAATAATTTTTTTTTTTCCTTCCAATTTTTGCTTTTTTGTGGAACAAGCTCTGCATATCACTATCAGTTGTTCCTTTTTCATTTGCAAATTATTTTTTAATAAACTGATTTAAATATTAAACGATTTACATTTCTTAACAAAATTGGATTCTAAATTTGCAGATATTTATGTTCTAAAAGTTTTATTGTGCCTATAAACACATTCAAAAGAAATCAGTTTTTTAAAAATATGTTTTATAGTTAGATTAATTTTTATGATCTAATATTTTATCCAGCAAATGATGAGAAGTAATGTTAATATTACATATTTTTTTTATTCAGTTACTTTAATGCTACATAATGCTTTATACTAATTTCAATCTTAGTTGCTCTGTTATATCTCATTTTGTTTCATTGTTTAAACTTTAAAATCTCAAATTTTTAATTGCAACTTTATAATTATTGCATAATTTTTATAGATCTAACATCCACTCCGTCATCGCGACTAACACCTGTGAAATTTTCATACCCTCATCCAATTGCTCGATTTTCTCCTGGAGGCTTGCTTATTACAACAATTCCTAGTCACATTAGTGCTGCAACAATTATGCCAGTTCGAATTCACAATTTACAGGTATTATATAATGTTCTTTATAAAAAGTTTTAAAATATGAGATTTCCCATCAATGTCATCGTGAAAAGTATAGGCATCAAAATACAATTTTTGGTTACAAAAGATTGATGTTCCTTAATTAACACTAAACATACCATAACCGGTCGAATGACCCTTTAAGAATTTTTGCATTGAAAATGAGCTTATCATCTTATCGTTTTTGCACATTTGACTTCATGACTTTTTCTAACAATTATATGCAGTTAATATTCTATTATTATTTGTTTTTTGTATTTGTTTGTTTCGAATAATACTTGTCTTATACCTATTTCTACCACAACCGGTCAATTGACCGGGAGAACAATTTATTGCTTTATAAGATTATCGGATCAGAAATGACCAGGGCTGATTATGCTCCGGAAAAATTTCGGATTTTTCGCTAACCATGATCCAGTGATCGAAGGTTCAGACGTTTCGAAAAATCATTGATCACAAAAGTTTCGGAAATCAAATTTTCAAAGGTGGAACTTAAAAACACATTTTATTTGTTTGTAAGGAAGAGCCAGATACTTTATAAGCTTATATTCATGATTAATATTCATTTTTTATCAGTAAATAGTTATTATAATCATAAACTCAAGAAAGAAAGACATATTTGTAAATTTCAATTACTTCTCCAGGTCTTTCATAGGTATGTGTAAAATTTTTAATATATTTTAGGTAAATAAAGAAATATTGAGAAAAAGGAAAAAAACCTTGTTTAAATTTTTTTTCTAATTATTGGATTTAAATTTTTTTTTTTTTTTACTCAAGAAATTTTCCGAAATTTTGACTTGGGCTCACGATCACCCCTGAATGATGATGTAATGCGTGTTCAACGTATTGCATTCGATTAGTTGCACATTTCTGAAAAGACTGTTGCATAGTTAGTTCAATCAGAATAACTGTGAATTCAAATGTCAAGAAAATACCTAAAATTTTAGATTGGCATTTTTGTGTAATAAAAACTGACAATTATAATTTTTTTATAAATAATAATTAGAAGTTAATAAAAACTGACAATTATAATTTTTATAAATAATAATTAGATGTTTGCGGAAAATGTACTACGGAAACACCCTGTATATGTAAAAAAATTCTTATTCATTGTGTTTGTAATACATGAAAATTGGCAATATGCAATTTTGTGTAATTATAATAAAGTTGCTTTCAGTTTATTTCCTTCCTAACATCCATATTTTATACATTCAATCAAGAAACATGAAGTCTGGTCATTTGACCGGCTATGGTAGAAATAGGTATATATTAAGTGTTGGTATGTTTAGTGTTAATGCTGATAACATTTGTAACTAATTGTTTGCTTGAAACCATTTTTGTGAAATCCTTTTGTTTTTAAAGTAAATATAATAAAATCATGTGTAGCACAAATGTGTATTCACATGAACAATGAGAGAATTGTTTCTTGTATTAAAGAGGGAATTATTTTGTAATGTGCATAATCTGTGATGGAAAAATAAAGCATGCAGAACTGAGGCAGACTGGTCATCAAAGTTTGCTAACATTTAATATTGTGTAATATTTGTTTTAATATTAGTATAATATTATTATATTGCACTAAAATAAAAACTTTTTTTCTAATGCATTTTATTCATTAATAGTATTTCCAGGTTTTATTTAGTTGTTTTTAAAAGTCTGTGTATATATTATGTATTTTTCTATGATATGAATCTTTATGTCTCAGTGAGCTGTCTTTAAGAAAGACCAAAATTTAATTTTTCATATGATTGATAGTGGCTCGTATGAAGTAAAAGTGGCTTGTGCACAATGTGAACCTAATTGTCTCAGCCGTGCCAGTGGCCATGAAATTGTGGAATCTTTTTTTTATTTTTTTATTTTAATCTTTATGGTTCTTATGGCCCACATCCAACTGTTCTGGAGGAATGGTTAACTAAATAAATGACTTATATATTTTTACCTATAACCTTATAATATTAATCTAGAAATATTATTTTGAATATAAGGCTTTTTTGTTTCTTATAATGTTATCATAATTCTTTTAATTGTTAACTTAATTTTTTTCTTTCTAACTAAAAACTCTTTTTATAAATTAACTTTTTTTTGTTACATCTTTTGTAAGCTTTGTTTGTTAAAGAAAACTAAAATATAGGATATAATGTGCCCTGTGCTTTGCAGAAAATATTTTATAGATTTCCCTTTTTTTATTACTTTCTGATGCATTAAAACCAATTATTTTTTAATATAAGGATATCATGGAAGGAGAAGAATCTTTTGAAGAACTTAAAAACCACCAGGGTCCTTTAGTACGGTAAATATGTCTCATATTTTATTAACCAAATTAAATCCTGTTGAACAGCATGTGTTCATAATTTTTTTTTTTTTTTAAGCATAAAATCCAAAGTTGAAGATTAAAAAATTTTTAACTGCTTGAAATATAATGAGCTAATTTACATTTGCTCTTTTTAATTTAATTTGAGTAGAATTTATTATTTTGTGTATATTTCCATTAATGTATGTTTTAGTTTTTCATTTTGCTAAGCATATTTGTCTTATTATAAATATCTATTGTAAGAATCTATTATAAATATTTATCAAAGGTTAGTAAACTACAATCTTCAATTAAAGAAAAGTCATTTGTTTCAAGATTTTCAGGATTAAGTCATTAAACATTGAGTATGGAATTGTTTTAACTTGGAATTGTCTTTTTAAATTGACATTTTCTCTCTCTCTATCGTTTAACTTTTCTAATGAGGAAATACCTATCTTGCATCAATTGTAAAACTAAACTAATATATATATAAATTGTTTTGTAAATTGGCAGG